AGGAAAGCAGAGGAAGATGGCCCAGTACTGGGGCCCCTGCCACCCATATGGAGTTTCAGGCTCCTGGCTTCAGCCTGGCCCAGATCTCGCTGTTGTGGCCATCTGGGAAGTGAACCAATGGATGAAGAGCAATCTCTCTCTCTCTCTCTGCATTTCAAACAAACAAATAAATCTTAAAAAATAATAATTTTAGGCCGGCATCGCGGCTCAATAGGCTAATCCTCCGCCTGCAGCGCCAGCACACTGGGTTCTAGTCCCGGTCAGGGCGCTGGATTCTGTCCTGGCTGCTCCTCTTCCAGTCCAGCTCTCTGCTGTGGCCAGGGAGTGCAGTGAAGGATGGCCCAAGTCCTTGGGCCCTGCACCCACATGGGAGACCAGGAGAAGCACCTGGCCCCTGCCTTTGGATCAGTGCAGTGTGCCAGCTGCAGCATGCTGGCCACAGCGGTCATTGGAGAGTGAACCAACGGCAAAGGAAGACCTTTCTCTCTCTCTCTCTCTCTCACTGTCCACTCTGCCTGTCAAAAAATAATAATAATTTTAAAAATTGTTTCACAGTTTCAAGAGTTCAGCTCACATCTTTCTCATATTTGCTACTCCCAGGAATCCATAACATTAACCTCAAAACCAGACAAACTGAAAATCCTGGAATGCCTGGTACACTCCAGGGAGACACAAGCAGCAAACTGGAGTCAGCAAAGCAACTAAATGCCTATCAGTTTACACTGTGACTCCTGTACTGTACCAACAGGGAAAAGGGGTAACAACTACTTGTTTTCAGAAGTCTTTATATAAGCACAAAGGTCACATGTATTTTCCCCATCTTTTTTTCTCTTATGTATCTATTCAATTCTTCATTGACAATATTCAAAACATTCATTTTCTCTATCCAATTGTCTGACTAGGCTTTTAAAAAGCAAAACTTTCAAGTATATGAAAAAGCACGCCTCATTTCAATCACCTTATCTTATACCTTGCCTTTTTATACCAAAGTGTTAGCTAATACTGATTCAACAAGTTTGAAAAGTCTGTTTTTGGCCGGTGCCGCAGCTCAATAGGCTAAACCTCCACCTAGTGGCGCCGGCACACCGGGTTCTAGTCCCGGTCGGGGCGCCGGATTCTGTCCCGGTTGCCCCTCTTCCAGGCCAGCTCTCTGCTGTGGCCCGGGAGTGCAGTGGAGGATGGCCCAAGTGCTTTTGGGCCCTGCACCTGCATGGGAGACCAGGAGAAGCACCTGGCTCCTGGCTTCGGATCAGCACGGTGCGGGGGCTGTAGAGGCCATTGGTAAACCAACGGTAAAGGTAAGACCTCTCTGTCTCTCACTGTCCACTCTGCCTGTCAAAAAAAAAAAAGAAAAAAGAAAAGTCTGTTTTGGGGGTGCTGGCACTGTGGTGGAGCGGGTAAAGCCACTGCCTGCAATATCAGCATCCTATATGGGCGCCAGTTCGAGTCAGCTGCCCTATTTCCAATCCAGCTCTCTACTACGGCCTGGGAAAGCAGTGGAGGATGCCCCAAGTCCTTGGGCACCTGTACCCATGTGGGGCACCCAGAAGAAGCTTCTGGATCCTGGCTTTGGATCAGCTCAGCTCCAGCCAGTGTGGCCATTTGGGGAGTGAACCAGCAGAAGACCTCTCTGTCTCTACCTCTGTAACTGCCTCTCAAATTAATTAATTAATTAACTAAAGCTAAAACAAAGAGAAAGAAAAAAACATGCATGGACTTTATTTTTCACCAAAAATCCTTTATATTTTAATCCTATTTTTCCACTAACTTTATGAAATACCCTTGTATATGTTCTCTTAATATTAAAATTCCTTCCTATTTTAAATAATATCTTTCATAAGAAACTGAATAAAATTAAGAGATGAAAGCCAAAATCAAGAACTGAAAACCACCCAGAAAGCAATGGAACATTAAATTACAAGCAACAAGGCTGGCACTGTGATGTAGCGGGTAAAGCCGCCACCACTGCCTGCAGCACTGGCATCCCATATGGATGCTGGTTCGAGTCCCAGCTGCTCCACTTCCGATCCAGCTTTCTGCTATGGCCTGAGAAAGCACTAGAAGATGGCCCAAGTCCTGGGGCCTCTGCACCCACGTGGGAGACCTGGAAGAGGCTCCTGGCTCCTGGCTTCAGATTGGCTCAGCTACTGGCTCAGCTCCAGCCATTGTGGCCACCTGCGGAGTGGACCAGCAAATGGAAGACCTCTCTCTCTCTCTCTCTCTCTGCCTCTCCTCTCTGTAACTCTTTCAAATAAATAAATAAATCTTTTTAAAAAATTACAAGCACCAGCAGCAAGTGTCGTGGTGCAGTGTGTTAAGGTGCGCCTACAATGCCAGCATTCCCTAAGAACACAGGTTATAGTCATGGCTGCTCCACTTCCTATCCAGCTCCCTGCTAATTCTCCTAGGAAGGCAGTGGTGATATCCCAAGTACTTGAACCCCTGCCACCCACATTTTAACCTGGATGGAGTTCCAGGCTCCTGGCTTCAGTCTGGCCCAGCCCTGGCCCTGTGGCCATTTGGGGAAGGAACCAGAGGATGAAAGATCTCTTGCTCTCTCACACGTGTGCGCTGCTCCCTACCTTTCAAATAAAACAAATCTTTTTTTAAAAAAATTACAAGAACCTGAAACAGCTAAACAAGCTGCTATTTCTAGAAAGGTAGCAGTTTTGTATTTTTCTTGAAGCTTAATTTAAATAAGAGTTTTATGGTTTTGATATCAACTAAGTCTGGCTGTATACATAAAATTCAAAAATCCTCATCAAATGCAAATAAGAGGATTAAGCACTGCAAAAATCTATTTTGGTATGTAGATGCCCAGTTCAATTTTTTAATTAAAAGTAATCCTTTGGAAAACACTCCTTCAACTTTTTTAACTTGTATAGTTTTCATAAATCACAAAAACTTGGTTTTGCATATCACTGAATTTTAAAACTCACTATTAAAATAAATACTGGGGGTGAAATATCACCAGGGCATTACTAACAATTTCTGTACTTCTCAATTTCACTCTACTAGTTGCCCCAAATCAGAAGTGCTGTCAGATCAAAGAGCAATCAACTGTTATCAAAAGAAAACTGAATGGAGGTTTCCTAAACACTATTAATTCAAGTGCAACTCCTAATAATCCTAAACAAAGCAGACATTCACATATGAGCTGATCAATCAATGGTGCAGTGAACAGCACTTTGCCAATAAAGTGTTAAGGCAAAAGGAACATTTTCTCAAGTGAATGCAAACCGTTTAAGATAAGCAGTGTTTACCTACCAGTACATTATACTATGAAATGAACTGAGTTCAGTAACACCCACCTCTTAACTCTCCCAATATCGCTAGAAAATCTGTAACTCTGAAACACATTTCAGTAGTAACCACAAGGAAGTACTTAGTACATGAGTGAATATTCCATAAGTGTTCAGTGTCTGACAGTTCCTTTAAACCCAGAGAAAATTCCATAGATTCCAATTAATACAAACTCACAGAACTGCTGCCTAAGTAAGACAATTAACAAGAACAGAGCACATATGCTCAAAATATTTAGTTGTCGTATGACTGTACAGGAATTTATCTAGTCTAATTTCAATAACCTAGTAAGAATAATGCATCTGTGTGGTTTAGAAATAGTAAAAGACGTGGTTCGGTTCAAGTCATAAATTTAAATTTCAAGTCACTAGACTGCGACCTCAAATGCCTTATTCCTCTTTTGCAAAGGTAAAAACCCAGGGTGATTCAGTCACACTCACCTAACTTGAAATGTAGGAAATAATCAGTGAATTACTGTGAAACGCTTTTTGTTCAAGTATGCTAGGTCGCAAACATGCATTAAGAGTAAAACAAAAGTAGTAAGATCATGGACACCGGGAAGGTCCTTGTTTTTCAAACCAGAAGTCAAGGTATATATAGTCTGACAAGCATTGCAAAGAACAATAGAAATGAGTATTAAAAATCCAACTATTTCCAAAAAATCCGATACAGGAAGTATTTTCATAATCAGCACACGTCATGTCTGTACGAACACCTGAAGAAAGCCCTCACTCCTCTCTGCCAACTAATCCCTCCGCCAGCCCAAAGAAGTTAACTCTCCTGCCGACCTAAGTCAGATTACCACTCTGCACAGACTCCCATGCTCAAGGGCAGACAGGATCACGGAAATCACAGGAAAGTCGGTAGCCACCCAGAGAGTAAGCGGCCAACACAGGCACAGAACCCACAAAGGAGAAAAACATGTGACAGCTCCCGCCCCCCAAAAGCCGTCTGATCTGCTGGATGAATGCGGGGCGCCGAGGCACGGCGAGCGAGCGGCTGCACGCATCTCCCACCCAGCCCAACATAACCAACCGCCCCGACTCTCCCAGACGTTCAGGGCGATCATCAGAGGCTGACGTCCGCGGGGTCAGGAGTTCCGACAGAAGGGAGAGCGGTGTACTCGCGGGTGAGTTTTTAAAACATTGAAAAAAAAAATTTTTTTTAAAGGGGGAAATTGGGGAGGAAGTTGGCTGGAAGATCAGCGCGAGGCGAGGCCAATGTCCGGTTCGGCGAGGACGGCGTTGCAAGGGCAGGCAGCGCTCCGCCGAGCCTCTGGAAAAGCTGAGAGTTCTCTCTGAGACCTGACCCGGGCAGGAGACGCGAGAACGCGGATAACGCGGCTCCGAGACGGCACGCGGGGGTGGGGCCCGCACCGCTCAACCCTGGGCTCGCTGAATGAGCCCGCAAAGCAAGAGCGCAGCCTGAGAAAGTCAATGGGTTCAAGGAGGCTCGCACCGGCCGGGCAACGCCACGGCACGGAAGGCCGCTGCCTCCCGCTCCGAGGCCTCGGGGTCAGCCCCTCAAGAAGTCGGAGCAGTCCCCGGGGCTCCGGGCCCCTCCTGGCCCAGCCTCCGTCCACCCCCCACCAGCCTGGCACCGGACCCCGGCACTGACAGGAAGCTTCCGGCCGTGCGCTCGCGGCAGCAGCAGGGCAAAAGCAGCAATATGCTCTCAGCGCCGCGAGTGACACTCACCGGCCCGAAACCTCGAATGAAACCAGCAGCTTCGGGGGCGGCGGCAGCAGTGGCAGCAGGAACCGAACATCCAAAATGGCGGCTCCCTCGGCCTCACCACCGCTACCGCAGGCGGAGGGATCCTCGGAAGGAAGGGAGTTTTTAACTAACTTCCCACGCTATCGCAGAAACTTCGGCCCCTTATGCCCCTCTCCTAGCCGATTCCGCGTCCCCTAACGGCAACTTCTCGTGCCTCCCTTCTCGGATTACCCAAGAACTCGGACCCCGCCGAGGACTATTTGCCAAGGAGGAGGCGACTGCGCCTGGCAGAGCGACGCAGAGCGTAGCCGGAGTCGGGGCTGTCACTGATGACGCGAGACGCTGCTGCCGAGTCACCGCTGCGATGAGTCTGAGCGAGAAAGAGCCGGCCGGCCCCGCCGCCGACGGACATTGGTTCCGCTTCGCGGTGATGGTGGCGGCGGCGGCGGTGGGGTGCTGGGCTACCAGGAAGCAGTGGGGCCACCTGAAGGGGGTGGGGCTAGGGGAAGTGGCCGAGGAAGTGGGAGCGGCCAGGAGGCGGGGACCGCTGAGCCGGGCTGAGCTGGTCTTAATCACGAGGATCCCAGGCTCCTTCCTCTCACCTTTGAGACGTTGCCTGTCTCCTCAGGAACGTACTTCATTCATGTGGTCTAGACATCTATCATTTTATGGTATCTGTGCCACAAGTTTTGTGAAGAGGTAGAGGTTGACACCGAAGGATGGCTTCCACACAACTGCGTTATTGCGTCTTGCTCCTGCATTGGACGAGTGACTTGAACTCTCCGGGACCTGTTTCCTCATGTGTAAAAAGGGAAGATTTGGACTAATGAGAGCTAAACCCTTTCCAGAATGGGCTTTCCGTCTGACTTCGGGAATTCATGATTTGCGTCAAAAAAAATCCAACGGGACAGTTCTTGGCTTGATAAATAATTAGTATCAGCTGAAACCAGTCTTTTCCACGTGAATGTGCAAAGTGCCCTGATATCTTGGCCCATTTAAAGGACAGGTGACCTACCTGAACTAAAATCCTCTGGTTATAGCCAGGCGTTGTGGGGTAGCGAGTTAAACTCTGGCTCGGGACACCCGGATCCTCTATCAGCGTCCCCGGGTTCAAGTCTCAGCATCTTCGGATCCAGCGCCCTGCTAATACAACCTGGGAGGCAGCAGCGGATGGCTCAAATGTTTGGGCCCTTGCCAGCTACCTGAAAAACCCAGATGCAGTCCCCGGCTCCATGCTTTTGCTTGGCCCAGCCCATGCTGTAGCTGACATTTGGGAAGTGAACAGGAAGATCTGAAGATAACTCTCTCGCTCTTCTCTCTCTAGCTCTCCTCCCCTCTTCTCTCTTCTCCTCTCTTCTCTCCTCCCTTTCCCCCTCCCCCTGCCCCTCTGACAAGTAGATGAAAGTAAAATGTATTTTTAAAACATTTGTTTGAAAATCAGAGTTACACAGAGAGAGAAGGAGAGGCAGAGAGAGAGAGGGGTCTTCCACCTGATGGTTCACTCCCCAGTTGGCCGCAATGGCTGGAGCTGCGCTGATCCGAAGCCAGGAGCCTGGAGCTTCTTCTGGGTCTCCAGAGGGTGCAGCAGCCCAAGGACTTGGGCCATCTTCTGCTTTCCCAGGCCATAACAGAGAGCTGGATTGGAAGTGGAGCAGGACTCGAACCAGCACCCATATGGGATGTCGGCATTGCAGGATGTGGCTTTACCCATTACGCCACAGCGTGGGCCTCTAAAATGTATTTTTTTAAAATCCTTTGGAGAGATTGGTGACAAAGTACTCCCAAAAGTGAATAAAACTTCACCAAACAAGATACCAAAGAAGGAACTACTCCAAGTCTTTGGTTTAGTATTACAAGTCATGGATGGGAGGCTGCACTTTTTTCTTAGACTGTCACTTTTTTTTTTTTTAAAGATTTATTTATTTATTTGAAAGTCAGAGTTACACAGAGAGAGGAAAGGCAGAGGAAGAGAGAGAGAGAGAGAGGTCTTCCATCCAATGGTTCACTCCCCAGATGGCTGCAACGGCCAGAACTGTGCCGATCCGAAGCCAGGAGCCAGGAGCTTCTTCTGCATCTCCCACGTGGGTTCAGGGCCCAAGGACTTGGGCCGTCATCTGCTTTCCCAGGCCACAGCAGAGAGCTGGACAGAAAGTGGAGCAGCTGGGTCTCCAACCAATGGCGATATGGGATGCCAGCACTTCAGGCCAGGGCGTTAACCCACTGCACCACAGCGCTGGCCCCAGACTGTCACTTTTCTACAGGGATCTCAGAACACTTTACAAAAATTGAACCTAAGCCGGCGCCACGGCTCACTACGCTAATCCTCCGCCTTGCAGCGCCGGCACACTGCGTTCTAGTCCCAGTCGGGGCACCGGATTCTGTCCCGGTTGCCCGGTTGCCCGGGACAGAATCCGGTGCCCCTCTTCCAGGCCAGCTCTCTGCTGTGGCCAGGGAGTGCAGTGGAGGATGGCCCAAGTGCTTGGGCCCTGCACCCGCATGGGAGACCAGGAGAAGTACCTGGCTCCTGCCATCAGATCAGCGCAGTGTGCCGCCGGCGGCCATTGGAGGGTGAATCAATGGCAAAGGAAGACCTTTCTCTCTGTCTCTCTCTCTCACTGTCCACTCTGCCTGTCAAAAAAAAAAAAATTGAACCTGCTAGGCCCAGCTGTACAGTTTTGTAGTTGAACTACTAGCCATGCCAAGTGGCCAGAAGCAAAGGAAGCCAAGGGTGTGATAATGGTAATTACCATTTTATTGATAAATACTGATATCACAGTGTTTATAAAGCACCTTCATCTGATTATCTAATTTGACCTCTGGACAACCTCCTGAGTCAGACTAGGCAAGTGTAAGTAATTCAGTTTTACAAATAAGGAGACAGGCTCAGAGAAACTGGGCTTAGCTGAAAGACCCATCCTCACATTTCCCCCCCCAGAGTCTGCTATAGGACTCCATCTTAAAAATTAGAAAAGGGTACCCAGGGCTGCAGTACAGCCATTGCTCGCGACACTGGCATCGCATATAGGAGTATCAGTTCGAGTCCTGGCTGTTCTGCGTCCCATCCTAATTTCTGCTAATGCTTCCACAAAGGCAGTGGAAGGAAGAGAGTCCAGCTCCTTGGGCCCTTGCCACCCCTGTGTGAGACTAGGAAGGAGTTTCCTGGCTTCAACCTGGCTGTTGTGGCATTTTGGAGAGTAAAACATGGAAGATCTCTCTGCTTTTTCTACTGTCTCTCTGCCTCTCTCTGTTGCTCTACCTTCCAAATAAATAAATCTTTTTATAAATGGTACCCACCACCACCATATCACCCCAAACATACTCACTCATGGTGGAATCAACCCAGAGAAAATAGTTTGGAGAACAGAATGTTTGCAGAGTTCATACCCTTCTCCTCCTCCTCTGTGCTAGCATGAAATACCATCCCAAAGGGAATGGCTAGTAAATAGTGTAAAACAAGGGGTGACCACTGGAGCACGGTGAGTTAAGCCACTGCTTGGGATTCCCACGTCCCATATTGAAGTGCCTTAGATCCAGTTCCCCCCTTCTCTTCTGGTCTCACTTCCTGCTAATGTGTACCCTGGGGGGTCACCAGATGATGGTTTAAGTACTTGGGTCCCTGCCACCCACATGAAATATCAGTTGGAGTTCCTGGCTTCTGGTGGCAGGAGTAAGCCAATGAATGGAAGATACCCTTTCTCTCTCTTTCCCTCCCTCTCCCCTCCCCCACTTTTCAAATAAATAAACATTTAAAAATAATATAAAACTAGAATATCATCATAATACCAGCACATGGATTCCTCTGAAGCATGGCTGTGCATGGAACACATGCCAAATTCATTTTAAGGTTTCCAAAAGAGTAAGTTAGAAGGTTGTAAAGCTGAGTTAGCTACATTATTCCATTTGACATATCATAAAATTGCTTAGAGGTCAGTTTTGAATGTTTACAAGTGTAAATCATGAAAGAAAATTAAGGGGGCCAGTGTTGTGGCATAGCAGGTGAACTGCTGCCTGCAGTGCCGGCATCCCAAATGGGCACCAACCAGTTCGAGTCCCAGTTCCTCCACTTCCCATCCAGCTCTCTGCTATGGCCTGGGAAAGCAATGGAACATGGTCCAAGTCCTTAGGCCCCTGCACCCATGTGGGAGACCCAGAAGAGGCTCCTGGCTCCTGGCTTCGGACTGGCGCAGCTCCGGCTGTTGCGGCCAATTGGGGGAGTGAACCAGCAGATGGAAGACCTCTCTCTCTCTCTCTCTCTCTCTCTCTCTCTCTGCCTCTCATCTCTGTGTAACTCTGACTTTCAAATAAATAAATAAATCTTAAAAAAAAGTTAAGCTATCTCCTAGAAGGAGAAAGGAGCCTTTTTTCCCACCACCTCAAATGGCAGAACACTAAACAGAAATGATAACATCAAATATTAACCCCTTCCTGTGTTTATTTGTTTCTTTCATTTATAATTACCAAACCCTTCCCCTATGTAACTGAAAATTAAAGGCAATCACTCCAATATATAACAGTCATCATTTTCTCAGGATCTTTGCTATCTGTGGGTAGTGATTAGAGTCTAGGAGGGCTTACTCCTCATCTCCTCAAACCTAATCCCTAACTCCAGATAAATAAATTACAGCACATCCATAAAAGGGAATAATGTGCTGCCAATTAAAATGAAGCTATACCTCTATTATAATACTATGGCAGAATTTTAAAAACAATATTATAAAATGAACTACAAAAGTTGAATATAGTGCCAGCGCCACGGTGCCATAGGTTAAGTCCCACTTGCGACACCAACATCCCATATCAGAGTGCCAGTTTTGAGTCCAGCTGCTCTGCTTCCAATTCAGCTCCCTGCTTTTGTGCCTGGGAAAGCAGTGGATAATGGGCCAGGTATTTGATCCCCTGCCACCCATACGAGCAATCCAGATGGAGTTCCAGACTCCTGGCTTCCAACTGGCCTAGACCTGGGCAGTGTGGCCTTTGGGAGAATGAACCAAAAGATGGAAGATAACTCACTATTGTTCTCTCACGCCCTCTCTTGCTGTCTCCCTCTTCCTCTGTAACTCTGCCTTTCAAAGAAATAAATAAATCTCTTTTTTAAAAAGTTGTACATATAAGTAGAAAAAAAGTGAAGGATAAAACTAAAACATAAGCTGGCACCGCAGCTCACTAGGCTAATCCTCTGCCCGCGGCGCCAGCATACCAGGTTCTAGTCCCGGTCTGGGCACTGGATTCTGTCCCGGTTGCCCCTCTTCCAGTCCAGCTCTCTGCTATGGCCCAGGAAGGCAGGGGAGGATGGCCCAAGTCCTTGGGCCCTGCACCCCCATGGGAGACCAGGAGAAGCACCTGGCTCCTGGCTTCGGATCAGCGCGGTGCGCCGGCCCTAGCGGCCATTGAAAAAGGAAGACCTTTCTTCCTGTCTCTCTCTCTCACAGTCCACTCTGCCTGT